ATTAACACCCACCAACCTGCCAAATGCGGGTTGATTTCAGCTGTGGCGGGTTAGACGGTCACTCCCACTAGCCACTTTGGCTGATTGAAAATAATTTTTAAATTGTGGTTTTCTTAAAGCAGGTTTCGACTATAAGAATGACCCAATATGTGTGCAAATGTGATCTTAGAATGGAGAAACAGCACGACTAACAAAAAAATTTGCGCATTCGCGCGAGCAATAGATTGCAGGTGAATACCGAATGAGAGGATAATAACTCGCGCTAACAGCTGATGTGATGCGCACGACTGTTTAAAGCGCGTGCACGCTCCTGTTTCCTTGCTTGAAGCAACCGTGCCTGGAACGCAACTGTGATCGGATCTCTTTCAAATAGTCAGACAAAAAGTAATGCTAATGCACCCGCAGTCCTGCTGCTTTCAAGAGCTCCAAATATGTCTTTTTGTAAGCAGCAGCGGTTGCTTTCGCTCTGAACAGATCCGATCATTCTTCCATTATCACAGTATGTTTTTCACCTGCTTTCTTTTGCTTACATTTATTTTTGTTTATATAATTAAATATTTTTTTTACAACAAAATTGTTTTAATATGAGATTAACTCTCCATTTATGTGTGATGTTATCTGAGAGATCTTTAGCGAGGACAGATTACTGTGCACATGTTTGATTCATGACAATACTTATATTTCAAAGTCAATGGTTTTTCTTTGGTTTTTTAAAAGAAAGGTTTTGTTAAATAAAAAGTATAGTATAAAGCTATATTTAGCTGGTTTTAGTTTTGACATTGAAATCGGAGATAAGAAATATTTATTGTTTGGTGTGGTCAGAGATAAATTTGGTAAATCCTTAATTTTGAGTTCTAAAAAGTGATGTGAAATAAAACTAATTGCAGTATAACACTATGAAACCATGACCCATTTGCTCTTACATGACACACAAAACGTGAAATGAATGAGGAGGCATGTGGACAAAACACAACATCTAAATCAAGACATTTTAGCATGTCAAAGTCATATTTATACACATATTTTGCCAACAACAAAATTGTGGCTAGTGAAAATGCAGAGTGGCTAGTAACGTCAGAAAACTACTAGCCACTGTGGCTGGTAATCAAATAAGTTAATGTAAAGCCCTGTGTGTGTGTGTATATATATATATATATATATATATATATATATATATATATATATATATATATATACACATATACACATACTATACATGACCTGTTGTGGATGATGCAGCAGTCCAGTAGATGTGGTTTTTAATGCTACGTAACCATTTACGCAACTTCTCACACCCCTTTATCTGGCATACCTTGTCCAGTTTTTTGGAAATTCCTGGAAATTAACGAAAAAGAGACATCAACACAAAAATAATAATAAACATGTAAGAACTGTAAATAGCAATTTAATCTTAAGTAAATGAATAACTGCTAAATTACATACCTTTCTCGATATGCCACACATCGTAAAACTGAGTGACATTTCGATCCCTGAGATATTTCTGTATTTGAGGATGTCTGTCTGTGATGATGCATTCCAGACGAACACCGCGGGCATCCAACAGGTCAAGGCTT